TTGCTTTTAAAATGTTTTAAGCAGGTTCAATTTAATACACATTTAATTTCATATAATTTTATGAAAGTAAGTTAAGCATTTTAGAGTACATTTAATTAAATTTGAATTCCAAAGATTTAAGTGGCTTTCAAATTAAAGTTTAATTGAATATAATTTCTCAAAAATAAAATTTAATATTTTGGAGCATATTTAGTTAAAGTTGCTTTTAAAAGGTTTCAAGTAGATCAAATTAAAACACATTTCCTTTCATTAAAATTTATAAAAATAAATTGTAATGTTTTGGAGCATAATTAATTAAAGTTAATTTTGAAAGAATTTGAATTTTATCCTTTGACTTTCCCAGATGAATAAATTATTAAATGTGTAAATCATTACAACTTAACATATAAGTTTTGCAAGTGATCTTGTCTTAGACCCATGAACTTGCTAACCCTTAATTTTGGTACATAAGTATACACACCTACAAAATAATTTATAGCGCATATAAGATGCCATGCCGAAAATATGCTTTCTAGCTAACATAAAATAACTTATTTCCTAAAATGAATTTTAAATAACCTAAACATTATTCTAAAATCACAATAGGTAAATACATACATTACATGGATTTTGAAAATTTTAAACATTAGTTATATTTTCACATAAGGACAACATAAATATTTCATGAATTTTGGCAATCTAAAATGGGTTTAAATTTCACATAAAGTATTGGTGGATTTTTTTTAGCCACCATAGATCTCAAAAGATTTCTATCTAAATGATCAGAAATATCATTCAAACAATAATATACTATCCTGAAGAATAAAAATGTTACCTTAGAATTGATCTAATCACTCAGATGATTAAAATCTTTGTGATTCATTGCTCTACGGAACCAGAATTTCCCCCTTATCTTATTGGTGTAAGATAAATTTAATTTTATTATAGGATATGATATCCTTATGAGGGGGCTCCCTCTGAGAATACTCTCGATTAAAGTTATGAATTATACTTTTTTTATCAGCAATAAGTGTGTATGGGTTGATAGAGTTTGAAGACTTAGATAAAAAGGATCACCTTGGATAAAGGTTGACTTACTTGAGTTGAGTAACTTGAGCTTATCAAGTTAATTTTATTTTTAAATTTTATTTTAAATTGATATAAAAGTTTGATTTTACTTGGATAATAAATTTTGAAAATGGTGTTAAAATTCTAAAACTAATATGGAATTAATTTGTTAATGTTATTAGGTTTGCTTTAAATTGACTTTATAATGTTTTAAAATTATTAAAGTTCAGTTTAAAAGTTTAAAGATTTTTGTTTTTTGTTAAAATTAATTAAGATTTATTAAAATTCAATTTTAGGGTTGGTTGAAAACTTTTTAAAGGTAACAGGATAATTGCTAGAATTTAGTTAGGTTTATTTAAATTTATTAAGGTTTGATTTAAATTTGTTAAGTTTGTTAAATTTTATTAAAGTTTGTTAAAAGTTACTAAGGTTGAAGTTTCAACATTCATTTAAATTCATTAAGATTTATTAAGGTTTGATAAGTTTATTAAGATTCTTATCATCTTAAGGTTAAATTTGATTAAGGTCAAATAAATTTTTATGAGGGTTAATGTTGACTCTATGAGCCTAATAATACCCTAAATGTATTTTGGTGATAACAAATAGATGTTAGATGCTATTAATGCATTTCTCCTAGGAGTTTCAGAAAATATTTGGGACCTAGAAAGCTCAGTCAAACCTGTATAGTTAAAATCATAGGAATCAGATAGTTTCGAGAAGTGCTTAGGGCATGAGTAGGATATGCAAATAATAAGACAAATAAGAGCTCAATATCTCTAACACACTCGTATCACTTGCATTAAATCTCTCATTTCACTTGAATCACTCATATATTTTATATCTTGATAGACTAATTTTTAAAATGAATCTTAAAAAGTATATACTCTACAAATTAATTAAAATATTTTTTTTTACATAAATAGTTTATATCTCTACACCACGATCATATGTTCATCATCTTTTTTTGTAAATAAGACATTAACAATATTTATAAAGTGTGATTTAAATATTTTTTTTCAATTTCATGCTTAATTTAAAAATAATATAAGGAAATATTTTCTCTCTCCTAAATAGTCCAAATTAATCAATGATAAAAATTTATGTCTCCACACCACGATCATATTTTCATCTCATTTTTGTTAAGTAAGACATTAAGATTATTTATAAAATGATGGCTTGAATAATTTCTCAATATTATGCTTAATTTGAAAATTAATATTGGGTAACATTTTCTCTCTCTCGAATAATCCAAAAATATTATTTTAAATATTATTATGAAATGAATTTTTTTTACTAAATAAATTATGGGAAATAATTTATAAATAATGAATAATAATTACAAAATAAATTTCTATATAATTTTTATTAAGTTTCACTCAAACATGAGTTTACTAGTCACTCTTGTGTTATCAATTGCGACATAATTACATGGTTTCATATGTTTTTCTATAACAAATTTTTTCTTACTATTTTGGCCAAAATTTTTAACAATATGTTGGTATAAATACTTATCTAAGTGTATTAAATCTCTTGGAATTTCCTTAGATTTTTTTAATATTTTCTATATTTTATTCTTGAACCAAATCTTGCAAAATTTGTTCTAATTTAGAGCCTATGTAGGATTCTAATTTTACAAATATTTTCCAACTTTATTTTAGCCGCTTTTTGCATATTATGTTGGTTTAAATACTTATCTATATGTATTAAATCTTTGGGAATATATTTAATTATTTTTTTTTATTTTATATTTATTCTTTTCTTGAACCAAATTTTGTAAAATCTATTCAAAATCTGCACTTATGTAGGTATGAATTTCACCATATTTTGGCTGACGAAATCATGCCTTGCTCCAATTCTCTTAGAAACCTTACTAATTTCATTCTACTTCATTCATGGGGGCTTCATCATAATCTTCTACATACAGATGATATTCTTTAAAATCAAAGGGCTTCAGATCCCATCTATTTGTCTATTATGTAGACAAAAGGAAGAATCAATGGCTCACATTTTTTTTGTTATGCAAAGTTCTATGTTCTTTTTGGAGAAATTTGGCAGGGCAAATTAACATTTTTATACCCAATAATGGGTATAATTATTTGATTCAGTGTTCGCATAATTGGGAAGGTAAGTATAAGGATTATCATTTACTTAATATGATATCATATATTTGCTTTTGGTTTATTTGGATGGAATATAATGAGAGGAAACATCTCAATATGGAGCACTCGTATGATAGAGTGCTGGTGAATATAAAATCTTATTTTTGCAAGGTTACCAAATTTATCACTAAGGATGCTAAATTCCTTAAAGGTATGTGTTGATTTGAGTTTGGGATTTACTCAATCTACTACGCTTACTTGGTATACGAATGCCGTGAAATTAGATTTGTTGATTTCTTTCTCCATTTACAATTGATATGCATAAGAACAAGTTTGAGGATCCATGAAATATCCTTAATATAATTATTTCCTTATTATTAGGCTGCGTACATTGTACTCTTGGTGGAGGAACCTTGGGTTTCTATTTTGGGTAATTATATTATGGGTATAGTTTGAACATCTAGTCGGCTAGTGTAACCCTTTTTTCTTATATCAATAAAATTTCCTCCGGGATTTAGTTATCCCAATTTCAAAAATTTAAACCCACAAATTCAAAGTTTCTCAATTATTTGGCGAGGAAAAAAATATTATGCAGGCAATTGAATGGTGATTTTTACCATTCAAACTGAGATGAAATTTTTGACGAGGCATGCAAAATATAAAATGGAGGTTCGATCGGGTTAAGATACACGTGTTAGAGATATCATAATTCAACAAGTTCCACATAATTTGATGGAGATTGCCTTCTTAGTGAGATGTAAAAATCAAATGTGGATTGCAATCATAATGAGATACACACTATCAGAAAATGATTGTGATTGTGGTCACACTGTCAGATTGAGATTGCAATCATAAAGGTGCACAGTTTATATAGAGATCAAGATTGTGCTAAGATGCATATGGTTGAATAAAGATCGTAATCGTAGTGAGACAAGCTTGATTACATGGAAATCATAACAATAGTGAGATTTAGATGATCAAAAGGGGATTGTGATCGTGTGGAGAAACACAAATCGGTTGAATATTATATTATGGGGAACACAGATGATTGGACAAACATTACAATTATGGTTAGATATATGTACATTCAAATAGATTATGGCCAATTAACTAAATCAATGCATGTGTCAAGACCCATCAAGAAAAAGTATAGTGACTTGCATGTGTCAAATCTAGAGTGCGTATGCTAGAATCAATGAAGCCAATGTTTGATGAGTTCGCTGAGATTCAATATGTACTTAGACTCAACAAACGAAAAGGGTGTTGATAGAGGATCGGGAAATTGTCCCAACAAGATGGTCCACATTAAAATTGTCAAGTGTATGTGTTATCATGATAATTGGAATGAGAAATGTGTAGACCAATTTGTTATTGTGGGTGCAACAGAAAAATGTCGATAGTTTTACTATAATAATTGCTTGCATTCAACTTTAGTGCTTATTTAATATTGTAAAATCATCATTATAATCATTAGTATAATCCAACTATTTAATTATCCTTTTCATCTTTTATTTTTTATTTTATTTTCAAAAAACATTTGCGATAAAATTACATCCATGAAGTTAATACATATTCTAAAAGTAGATATTTAATCCTAAAGGGGGTTTTAAGGCACATTCAAAATTCAAATGTCTATTATTTTACTTCTATTCTAAATTTGAAATTAAAAACCCAAATATACACCTATATATGCATGCATTCAAGCTTTGTGAATCAAATTCAATATACATAAATTAAAACATTGTAAATCATATTTAATTAAATTAGATAAGATACCATGCTATGTTTAACAATTTATTTTATTCAAAATTTATTTTTAACACGTTAAAATTACACTTCAATATATTCTTCCTATTTTTAGTATACTAAACAAAACATCGATATTTCTAAATAAAATTTGTGTATTTCTACATTTTCTAATATGATGAAAGTAGAAGCACACCACCTCAAGAATAATCTCTGGCTCCAAAGGAAATCCTAGGCTGTTGATTGTGAGCTTAAGTTATCTTCTTCATCCCAAACAAAAAAGAAACAGAACTTGAAAAAATAAATCAAAATAGATAGATCATTCACCTCCGGTGCAAAGAAGACAAGGTCACTGGAAATGAGTCATAAAAGGAAATAGCAGCAGTTTGGGTGACAGCACAGCATATAAAATTCATTTCAGAAGGGTTTTCACAATGGATTTGACGTTCAGTTTCTTCAGGTCCGTGTAAGATTGGCCACAGCCAACAAACATTACTGGGGCTCCAGAAATATAAACCATGGAAAGGGCTGCCCCAACCTGCAAACAACATTTCAATCAGCTTCGTACAGTGAAAAAAAATTAAAATAAAACAAAATAAAACCCTTTTTTTTTATAAGGAATGGTCGGAGGCTATTATACGATTCTCAGTCATCCCTCCTGCGCCTAAGAATTCGAGTATCACACTCTACACTCGGTAGAATTCGAATCCCAGACTAGAGGGGACTTACAACTGATCTGAGAACGCGGCGCAACAAAACCCATATATGAGAACCCAAGCCCGCAAGTGTAAGGCCAGTGATTTCACATGCTGATGTTAAGGCAGAAGATTGGTTGGCAATAATTTCTTATAAAAAGTTCCAGCTTATATAATAAGAAATTCATCTCTGCCATTAATCACGGTTTTTCCAGAATTTATCTCTCAGGGGTTTAAGGAATAACTTCCTATTATGCAAAAAATGAATGTCATTGAGGACAGGAATTCTGAACCTTATCATCAATTGTATCAAACTTGGTAAGCAGAATGCCATCTATCAACCTGGCAGTTGGCATTGATGAGAAATCTGCTAGTTTCTGCAAATAATAAGGAAATATATAACATCCGTTAGTCAGGAGAAATCATCCCAGTAGAAGATCATATCCAAAGATTGAATTTTATTCTGGCGTGGTATAAAACCTGGTTGAACTTGGAAAGTTGATCCACAGCATCATTCCCTACGAGAGCTTCTCCAACAAAAAGAACTAAATCGGGGTTGTTTAGATTTATTAGTTTTGAAAGTGCTCTCATCAATGGCTCATTATCCTGAAACAATGATCAGAGCTACAATGTAATCAACGGATTATTATCTTGAAATACAGAAAAATTTAGACTATGTATGTCAGCCGCCAACTACCTGCATTCTTCCTGCTGTATCAACAAGAACAACATCTGAATTATTACGACTAGCCTCTTGGATAGCCTCCTTTGCAACAATAGCTGGATCCTTCTCATAGCCTTTCTCGAAAATAGGAATCTACAAAGATGTTTTGGCATATAAAAACCCATGCTTGAATTTGCTGAATTCAGACTGCAGCTGAACAAAGTCTTAGCATACTAAGATGAGAACTAAAAATTCATAAGCTTTTAATCTAGCCCTTTTTATTTTGCACATCCACGGGATGGGAATATAATGAAATAGATGGATTAAATTCAGAATGTAGACGATAACTTAAAACAATCCTTATCATCTGAATCAACTAGCAACCACTTAAAATACCATACCTAAACAAGAATGAATATTTGGCAAAATGCTTAGGAAAAAGAATACCTGGAGTCTGCGGGCATGGGTTCTGAGCTGCTCAACAGCACCAGACCTGAAAGTATCACAAGCTGCAAGCATGACACTAATATTGTGCTGCAGAAGCCAGTACGCCACCTGAGTTGTGACAGATTTGGAAAGAGGGGGGCATTAGAAATTTTATTAACAGCTTCCTCTAGAATCAGTCGCTACGGAGTAAAGGAAAATAAGGGAATTATAAGTGAAACCTTGGCAAGGTTGGTGGATTTCCCAACACCATTGACTCCAACAAAGACAATAACATAAGGCTTCCCCTGTTCCTTGGCAGAATGCACATCCCTCAAAATGTCAACAGATCGTTTAGGAGTTAAAATGCGAAGTAGAGCCTCTTCCATTGCTGCCTATAATTTTTACCAAACATTAATCATTAAGCTTCTTTCTAGGACAATCAAAACCCAAAGAATGTTGGAAAAAGAAAATGGACAACAAACCTGGACGGTAGAAGAAATCCTAGTGAATGATCCCATCTTCTTTCCTTCAAGACTAGCCACAATAGATTCACAGAGCTTTTCAGCTATTTCTTCTGCCTGCAAATTTCATAACTATTTAATACGCAGGGTAGAGTAACGGATGCGCACCTTTAAACAAGACACATACCACATTTTTTGTCATCAATCTATCCTTGAGAGCTTTCAGTGCAGGCTGCAGATCAGATTTCTCCAACAACGCATTTCCAGAAAGACTAGGGATAAAAGGCACCGGAAGAGAATATCAATAACATAATTAAACAAAAACAATTCCTCAACTAGTTGATAAAAATTTGTTATAATGGAGAATTATCCGATTGGAAAGTCAATAATTAAAAAGTATCAAGTCTTCATTATAAATATAATTGAGAAAATTCCACTACTAATTCATCCACATTCTATTTTTGTAAGTGCCTATAAATAGGAACAATTTCCTTAACAGGTTAATCAAAGTTACGTGCACTACATATTGTCAATCCTAATCCGAGCTAAAACCGCCCTCTCCTCCCTCCCTCCCTCTCTGTCTCACTCTCTTTCTCTCTATCCTCTCTACAAGCCATGCCCAAACATGTTCCGTTCGCCTGCTTGCCAACTACACTGATTCGCATCCTGCATGCCAACCACATACTTTGCTTGCACATCTTAGTGTTCTCACAATATTCATCCACAACCCTTAAAGCCAGTCATTTACTCACTCATGTTCTCCTTGTGAGTCCTTATGCTTACATGTGTCAATCACAAGAAACCTTTTAGCGATTGCTCAATTGCATTGTTGCCTAAAGAGAGTTTCAATGTTGCGACTAAATGATTGATTGATGTATTCAAACTTGGTGTTCATAGTGACTGCTCCCAGCTCCAAAACAAATCTCTCGAATATTGTTGTCACAATCAAATTCAAAGATGTCATCTTTTGTGGTCACGGGATTTTTGTTTTCTCATATAATCGAATGAGAACCTTTATCATCTAGCTCTTCAAATCCTAACCTAACAGATATTACCAAACATAACAAATGATGGTCCTGCTTTACAGTTCTCAGATTGATGCTAATAGTCCTAAATGTCCCATTTTTTACATAGACATGTTCTTAAATATTACGAACATAATACAGTTTTTTTCACTCCACAGTTTCAAAACAGTAAATACTTCAGGCATACACTCTCTACTCTGACATCTATTTACAATAGTACAATCAACTTTTATAAGATAAACATAAAGGCAAGTGGGATAAACTTCTTTAAAATCACCTCTTTAACATTGATCTTTTATTCCTGCTGTCAAGTTTCTCTTTGATCCCTATCTATCACAGTTGTTTGTTTAAACACAATTAATGGTTGGCTTTCTGGTCAAATTATCTCTACAATTAACTCTTGCATGCTCTAAGTTACTGAATTTACTATTTTGTCTCAAAATCTTCACCCACTCTCATTTTGCACCAGTGACAGTTTGGCAATTATGGTTGCAGTGCTCATGGTCAATATTTCGACATTGGAAGCACAGTTGGGAACTAATCATTCATCTAAGTGCTATTGTGACAAATTTGAATATCCTTTAGGTGCTCAAAATGTCAACCCTTCTCCTGATTATACGAAAACAATCCCGGAACTCTTTTTCCAAAATGAATATGATTTAATAATATTACAACACTTGTAATTGATTATTGCCTCCGATAAGGTTTCACCCACACGTTCTGTTAAACATTCTAATAAATCTTGGACCGTAAATTTTTTTGCTTTTTTAGACATGACAAGTAACCCACAGTTAATATTCTCTATTACCATGCAAACTTTTCCGTCCCTTTATCTTTGCTCATGGATTTCTCATCTATATTTGGTAAATGATCTACGCATCTCTCCTCATTAACTTTAAATAATGTTTATACTTTCCCCACTTTCCTACCAACTTTTATTTATCAACCGCCATAAAAAATCCCATAATTAGTCCAAAACTTATTTCTAACTTGTAATGTATTTTTCAAGATTTCAGATAGAGAAAACAAGAAGTGCTGATGTTAAAGTTTGAGGCATTTACTATGGATTTGATACTTCGTCTTCTACTTTATCTTCCACTATCCTCCCATGCTAGTGCCATTTTTATAACAGTTATCTCACTCATCATCTTTAAGGTTAATCAACTAAGCCTCTTTGTCTCTAAATTTGAATGTTAATCCTATGAGTATGGTTAACAACATCGGCACCCTTCGCCATTATCACATCATCTCAAAGTAAAGCTCATGAATATTATGAGTGTTTTCATTTGAGATGTAAAAGTTTTATATATTGAGTATATAGTAAAGAGTAAAATGAATCAAAATTTTTTTCTTTTCAAATTTGAAACTCCTCTAATAGGACATTTTTGGTGTATTATGAATTTTGCCAAAACAAACAAATTCAAAATATATCAATCTCACATAGAATAAATCTCCATTCACATACGTTTCAATGTAGTTCCGGTCTCACCCTCGCAAAATGCTAGTGTTTCTAAACTTAGGCTTCGTTGCATCATGTCACCATGGGTTTGTCATGTTTATCCCACAACTATCCTTTAGTCCCTACATCTCACTCCCAAATTGTGACATTCGTCGTTGACAAATCACAATATCACTGTCGTTGAGCTCTTTAACCCCATCCCTAGGTCTATCACTCCCACCAATTCTATCTATCACCATCACTAAAACCCCAAATTTTGTCTAAATTTAGTTCTCCGCCCCAAAGAATTGATTCACTTTACAGTTAACCAAACATCAAAAAGTGGCCCATTGAATTTATTCTTCTAACCAAATAGCTTAAAATATTTCAAATGCACTGATATTACTTTACAATGGGTTTAAAATACACTTGAATTCTAACTAATTACAACCAAACAAACTGTCACTACATTATACCGTCTAGTGTACAAATCGTATATATATTATACATGTTAAAGTATCCAAGTCTCATTAATTTGTCCTTTACTTTTAACCATGTTAAAGATTGATTAGGTATATACTTGTTAATGTGTCTTCATGAAGCCTTTGATGTATTCAAATAATTTTATCAAGAAATAAAACTTTTAATTTCATTCCCTTAAAATTATTCATTCTAATAATGTCCAAGAAAATATACAATCCACTTTTCATTTTTCCTATGATGAAAATGATATTATAAATCAATCATCATACATAACAGCTCCCAACAAAATAGAATGTTTTGCTGCAAGCATTGCCAACTCCTAGATGTTCCCTACGTAATAATATTCCCATAAAAAATCCTTAATAGTTCTAGAGTGATATCATTAATTCACAACTTAGTGTCCATATGGTGTGGCTAAAACTACATAAGAAATAGCTATAGAGATGCATGACAAATTTTAATTTTTTAATGGCTATTGTAAATCTTAAAAATTTTTAGCATATAGAAAAAATTGGATAACTTTCTTAGACAAGTGACACAAATAGATTTGTTTTCTTACCGCAGAACTTGTTCAAATATATTAAGAAACTTATAGCCAAATAAAAGCGTAATGACTGTTCGAAAAAAAGCAAGCCGAAACAACTCTAATTCCTCTTTATCCCCTAACTTTTTAAAGTTTTAGCCATCCTTAATTCATGTACTCTTTATTCTAGCATGATAAACTTTCCCCTTGTGATATTAAATGTCTTCCTCGGCTACTTATGAACTAAAACGGGTTATTATTTTTACGAACCCACTATCAAATGTTTTGGTACCTCTGTAAATAATAAATTTCAAGAAATATCCCTTTACAAACTCTTTTCTCCTCCACTAAAAAATTTCCTCCTATTAATTAGTTTCCACCCCTTGCTCTAGTACATGCCTCTAGTCCACTACAAGTATACACATGATGGACGGCTCGACAATCTCCCATTTATACACCTCCATCCATCAAGTTATCTATAGATGAGCATCCATCTACAACAATAATCCATGATCCCCATGTCCCAAACGTTTACGACTTCGCGCTTACCCCGGAATACAATCTTTTTATCTACCTTGACAATGTAACTTCGTTATTTCATCAATCTTCTTTCTTTCTTCTATTTGTACTCGCAAGTCCTTGTACTAGTGAATTTTATAGATTAAGTTACATCCAGATGGTATTATCAACTCTAGAAAAGCACGACTGGTAACCAAATGAGATACAAAGGTTCATGGCATCGACTAGTTTTAAACTTCTTCATCAAAGACTCAACTAAATTATGTTCATTTATGCTTTATGGTTATTAATCAAGAGTAACATTTATTCGTAGCAAGTGTCAAAAATATTGTTCTCCATGGCAATCTCGTCGAACAAATTACATAGAACAATCTCTCAAATATGTTGCCTAAAGAAAAAATACAATTTGTAAGCCCTAAATAGCTATATATCAGTTGAAACAAAGTCCTCATACTCGATTTAATAAACTCTATAAAGTTTCTGATGCAGTTAACCTTCAAAGCAACATAGCAACTTATTCTATCTTTTTCTACAATTTACCTTCTTAGACGATGACCCTTACTGTGTAAGTCCACAAAATACTTCATATAAGTGATATATTTGTTACTACGAAAAAACCTTTTAAAAGAAACTTGTTTAAAAAATGTTGGGATATTCAAAATACTTGATTGGAATCCAATTTACGTATACAAAAAAGGGTGTCCTTTCTTAGAGGCAATATGCCATAGACCAATTTGAGGCTTCTTGGTGCAACCCAACTGACACGCATAAGGATGCATTATAGACTTTGTATGCTTAGAAAAGCATTAAAGATATTCTTCATTATTGTTGCTTGTTAACTAAGTTTATTTATTTTACTATTACCTGATGTGATATTTCATTCATTGTTCTCATGGTAAGTTAGGCATATGCAAAATCTAAAGAAAATGCATTAGGATGTTATCTTAAGGATTTTAAGATATATTAAGAGGTCTCTAGAAAAGGAACTGTTAATTAAAAAAACAACAATTTAACAACTGAAGCCTACATTGAAGTTCATTACGTTAGATTTGGATCGATTAAAAAAAGAAATTCTAACCTAGAATATTGTGTTTTTGTCAAAGGAAAAACTTATTTTATGGAAAGGAAAAAAAAACGTATCATTATTGTGAAACCTAGCATTGAAGCTAATAATAGAGCTACGATGCAGAGGCATTTTACTAGTTAAAATGCTTATTATTATTTGTTTGATAAGATTTATAGCATCAAGGGAATGATAATAACAAGTATTCCACATATGATAATAGCTCACAACAAATAGAATCTCAAATATATCCTAAGCAAAGACATGCATTAACTTTTAAGTCATAGGGCATCCTATTTCATGCATGCAAAATTTCATTTGGAAAAACAAGCAAACTATTGTTGAATACATGATTTGAACTGAGGCAATTCTAAAAAAAACATGCCTCCTAACAAATAGATCATACAAATTGTTTGCTTTTCACAACACTAAAGTATAACAAGGTTGAACTAATTATAAGGGCACGCACAATTTGAACAAGTTAAATAAAACAATAGAATGATATAAAGTTGAGTGTTAGCAAATTTAAGTACGAATAAAAAATTGTATCAAAATCTAACAATACTATTTGGAGATGTTGAATGAAAAAATAAGAGGCCAAGGCCTATATTTATAATTTTAGATATGCGAGCAACTAAAGAAAGGAAACCATTATGACCATTAAAATTTTAAAAAAATCAACAAAGAAACCTAAAGTTGGCTAGTGATTAAGCCTAAACATAACTAGCTAAGAAACAATAGGTGGATAGATCATAGCCACTAGGGCTTCCCTCAAGCAGTCATTTTAAATGGATAATGCTTCAAAAATAAATAAGAAAAAAATTAACAATATTGGCCTTAGTGCTATCAATAGCAGAGTATGTCAGACACCATGGCTTTTCTTATCAAGTATTATAATGTTCAGTTGGCGTATCTACACACCGATGTTTTCCCTAGGGGAGGAACTATCCACCTTGAAATTTGAATTTTTTTAACGGGTAGCAAAATAATATGAGTATTAATAAATAAGTAATTTTGCCCCTCTTGAAAAATTCTTTTGCCCAATACTCAAAAAAAAGGTAAAGATATCTAGAAACAACTGTTTGATGTTATTAGTTAGCCCACAGTCAAGAATGAACCTAATGTTACCCCTGGTTATTACACCTATACATTTCAGTAAGATTTTTGCATTTGATAATGTTATGATCAAAATTAAAATCACGTCTAGTTTGAGATATATGTTAGATCCATTTCAGATGTTGCACAAGAAGTGTGATAGGAGTCAATGGCTTCAGTTTTGAAAATTAAGAGAGCATTGAAGGCTTTTTCATAGTAATAGTTAATAAATTTTCATATTAAGAAAACTCAGTTATTTTTTCCTAGGTACAAATATTTTGGAACCATTTCAGCAGAAATCGCTTTGTTCGACAATTAATATTCTTAAAAAAGATTCCATTAGACTTCAGATCAGGACCCAAGCCTGCTCATTCCTAGAATCTCCAAGGCCTACAATCTTGGTAAGAATATCACACACATCACAGATAACAAAGCAACATAGCTAGGTTCATTATTAGTCATTTTGCATCAATGAAGAGCCTTACACAGTTTTCTCTTGTAAGTAGTTTGATTAAAATGATCACCAGCCAAGATCTGAAGTATGAGATAGGAAGCAAATTACAGATAAAAAAAATTTGTGAAATTACGCAGTTTTGAAGCACACTAAGCCCCAATCTAAAATTCAAAACTTCCTATCCAATCTGATATAAGGCTTCCTAACAAAAGCAAAACGTGTTAAGAAAAAAGAATATGATAAATCATAATCATAACTAAATTACTTAACATCATTAAATCCACAAGTAGAGATCAGCTTAACAATGAATCCTAAACAAAGTAAACAACGTCATAAAAATTAAAAATGAATAAGCTTGGCAAACTTGACGATGTGTTGACCACATGCAAATAACAAAAAACAACAACAACAAAAAAAAACATCAGAGAAGAAAAATAGATTAATTACCTCTGAAACATAGATGAGAACCAGCTCTTCTTCTTGGCACTTGCTTTAGCACTCTCAAATTCGTCATCCCCCTCATCCTCACTTTCACTGCTCACAATCTCCCTGTCCATCATGCTTTCACCCTGATCAGCTGCGATATCCTCTATGACACCATCCCCTCTCTCATCACCAGGATCCGTAAAATCCAACTTTGACTCAGAAGGCGAATCATCCCAAACCCTATTCTTTTTTACATTCTTCTTCGGCTCCTCCTTCGAAGCTTTACTAGCTCCGCCGACAGAATTCTTTTTTGCGCCTTTTGCGCGCAGTTTCTGTAATTTACTTACATCAAAAGCACCAGAATCGGGGAGTCCATTTTCTTTCCCCTTAATGGAACTAGGTGCACGGGACGTGCTCCCGTTTTGGTGACCATTAGAGCTATTACTAACTAAACCATGCCGTTTGTCAGAATTACCATCATCTTCATCATTCACAGAACCACTATTACCGCCACTCCTCTTCTTTCCACCACCCTGCTGTGAACCTTTCAGGGCAGCACCCTGGACCTGTTTCTTGGCTAATAAAGGAGGCGCCTTCCCAGCCTGCTTCAACTTTCTCATCTCCTCTGCTCGTGCCTCTGCCTCCTTGTGAAGCTGGCGGAATATCTCATCAAACTCGTCATATGCAGTGCGCTTAGGATCGTAAATCAGCGAAAACTCGCGGCGCACGGCGGAGAGAAGCTCATCCACGTATAGAAGATGGAGAATCCGCTGGTAGACGGCTACGAACACGAGACCGAGCTCGTTGTGGAAAGTCCACTTAAGCGTGTAGGCTGCAGCTCCGGGGGCTTCGTAGTTAAAGGCGGCGTCAGCGGATCGCTCCTCCAGGAGGCAGGATCGGATGAGGGCGTCGATCGGAGATCCCCTGAGGGCGTTGCCGAGCTCCTTGCAGGTCCATAAAATGAGACCGCCTCTTGTGAATATCAGCAGCTGCTCCAACATATTCGGTACCTAGCGAATTGGACAGATCCAAACGGATTAGAAAAATTCGATTCGTAAATCCTCTCGAATCCGATTAAAAAAAAAGGACCCTAGCAAAAATTGCACAGATGTGAACTTGAATCTAGACAATAAATTCAAGATCAAGAAAAACGAGAAAACAAAAATTGAATCATAAGGAGAGTTACCTGACGCTGATAGGCTCCTGTGAAAAAAAAAAAACCCTAAAATGAAATTGGGAAAAGGAATGGAAAAGGAGAAATTCTCCAAGAACAAGGTAACGCGGAAGGAAGGGTGGAGAAGAAGAAAAGCCCAAAACAGGCTTCAATGTTCAACGTTTCCTGTAAAGACCGTTTAAGCGGCTGTTTGGTTGCGGATTTACAGCAGGATTTAACCTGGATTTGACCAAAATCCTGCCAGACGGTCAGTTTGGACAAAACAAAGCCGCGGATTCCATAACTCCCATTTTACGGATTTCGGTCGTAGATCCGGGACGAGCATCGCGGGATAAAGGTTTATGCAGTGGTGTTTGGTACAATATTAATAATCGAATTTAAGCATAAATTTAGTTTAAATTTTGTTAAACATTAAAAAAATGTACATTAATTCTAATATTCTGTTAAAATAAATTTTCTCATGTTTACTATATTCGGGCGAGGGACAGAATTATTCATGGTTGTTATGGTCAAATAAATTTAAATTATTGAATTTGATAAATCTTACTTCATAGAAATCTAACATGTAGCGAAACACTGCCTAAAGTTAGCTTCTTTCGTCTGTCTCCATGGTTTCGAATAGGAGCAGTGCGAAAGTAGAAAATCTATTGGACTTGTGAAAATTTACATACCACACAATTCTTTTTGTTGTGTGTCTGGAAGATTTGTGACAACGAACAAATAATTTGATGTCCTAGTGTTGTACAAAGATCCAAAACACACAGATAAACGAAATAATAATATGAGGTGATACCAGACTGCTTATGTGGAAAACCCTGAAAAACGAATTAACCACATTGCTTATATAAAAAAAAGTAAAATATTTGTGATTGTAAGTCTATATGTCTCCGCCTCTCCTGCATTAGAGAATGTGAAATTACAAAGCTAATCATTACAAATTTGCATAAGTAATTCTACTATAATAGTCACAATTGGGCTACAAGATATGTATTTTTTTGTTATAATAGCAATAGTTGGTCGCAAAGGCTTAGATGATGGTTGTAATAAAGTAATTGGTCATACAAGTCATGATAGGTGGTCGTGATAACAGCAGTTAGCCACCAAAGTCATAGTTGGAAACCGTAACGATAGAAGTTGGCCACAAATGTTATATTTAGTGATTACAATAGTGACAGTTAGCCACTAAAGCTATAATAATAGTAGTCGGCCACAAATATTATAGTTGGTTGATGCACATATAGTAGTTGGGCACAAAGGTCGAGGTTGGAAGTTACAATATCATCAGTTGATCACAAATGCCATAGTTAGTGACTGTAATAGCATCAATTTGTCATAAAAGATCATACTTGGATGTTGTTAAGTAGTAGTCGACCACAAAGATTGTTGTTTGTTGTTGCACAAACAGTAGTTGGCTATAAAGATCTTGGTTGAAAGCTGAAATATCATTAGTTGGCCACAGAGGTCTTAGTTGGAGATTGTAATAGAGTCGGTCACAGATGTCGTAGTTGAAAGTTGTAATAGTAGTAGACATTCACAAAGATCATAGTTGGTTGTTGCACATGTAGTAGTTGGCTACAAAAGTCATATATTGGAAATTTTAATAATGTTAGTTGGTTACATCTGTTGTAGTTGGTGACTGCAGTATCATTACTTGATCATAGAGGTTATAGTTGAAAGTTGTAACAGTATTAATCAGCCACAAATACCATAACTTGTTGTTGAACAAACATTTGTTGATCACAATGATGTCGTTGAAAGATGCAATATCTTCAGTTTGTCACATAAAACGTACTTGGTGATTGTAATAGCATCAGTTGGCCACATAGGTCATAGTTTGTGATTGTAATAGCGTTTGTTGGCCATGTTGGTTGTAGTCGGAAGTTGTAATATTAGTAGTTGGTTGCAAGGCCATAGTTGGTGATTGAACCCTCTCTTTCAGTGAAAATATGATTATGACGTAATAATGAGCACTGATTTTGTATTTATACATTGTAGAGAAAAATATATGTGTTAAGAAAAATCATCATATTTTTGTTATGACGATCGTAAATAGTGGTCGTAGATGGCTGGTGGTCAATGCTGACAAGTGGTAATGACAGACAGGCTATGGAGGTCAAAAGTTAGTGATGAGTCTTCAATATAAGTGTTATACCCATGATAGAGTTAACTAAGCCCAACTTGAGTCAACTAGACTAAGTCTGAGCTAGTTATCTACTTAGTGCCCCTAGAAAAGGATCCTAGGTCTAAATGTGGATAGTGGAAGGAAGAATTTTATCGAAAAATGAAGTTAACAACTAAACCCCTAATGTGTGTGGCAAACCATGTAAGATATGACACACATCTTGACATTGACCAAATCAATCGATTAATTTGAGATGAGCACAAACACTCCAAGAGTTGTATTCAGATTTTGATTTAAATTTAAATTTGAACTCAAACATTAGAGACTGAAATTAAAATTTTGATTGGTTTGATTTTGAGATTGATGATTGAAATTTTGATCTGGATTAAAAATTTGGAATTTGTGAGTTTTTGAGCTCTTACAAATAGTATTTACTCAAGCCTCACATTAAGAATCAAGGAAAAATTGCCTAAGGAATTTTTTCTGAAATTTTAGAAGAGGAATCGATAAAAGGACCACACTTATCCGAAAAGTCAAAAGGCTATGAGAGATTGCCAATGAGAACTCATGCCAATCCATAAAAGAAAGCTAAGAAAGGTTACCAAGGAGGACTCATGATAATCTTAAGAAAAATCTAAGAAAGACTGCTAAGAAAAACTCACATGACAATAAAAAAAAAACTATGAAAGGCTCCTAAGGAGGACTTACGCCCATCCCAAAAAGAAAGAAAACATAGGCTACCAAGAAAGACTCATGCTAATCCCAAAAAACATGCTAATAAAGGCTGTCAAGAAGGACTCACATCAATCCTGAAAAAGAAATCTAAGATAGGCTACCAAGAAGGACTCACACCAATCCCATAAATGAAAGCTAAGAAAGGCTACTGAAGAAAATGCACAGTAGTCCTGGAAAATAAAGTTAAGAAAGGTTGCCAATGTGGACTCACACCAATTGCAAAAATGAAAGCTAAGAAATGTTGTCGCTGAGGACTCATGCCGGTCCTGAAAAAAGAAAGCTAAGCAAGGTTACTAAGGAAAACTCACCCCAATTCCAAAAGAGAGAGAAAGGGATGGATGTCGTGAAGGGACTCACACCCAACCTAAAAAAACTTACAGAATGAGAGAATCATAAGTAATATTAAAAGAAAACTTTGACTTAAGGTTTAGATTTAATGTTAAAATTTTGGAATCAATTCAACTTATACTAAACATAAACTCAAATAAATGAAGTCAAACATAAGTGTATATCCAAGAAACATTCTTTTATTAATAAAAATTATTTTCTAAATACAATCATCTATAATATTTCTATAAACATCACCTATTTTTAAGAAGAACGATTACCCCTAACATCTACAAGCATAATATTTCTATAAACATCACCTATTTTTAAGAAGCATTGAACGATTACCCCTAACATCTACAAGCTAGCAGGATCCACCCTAGTAGACTTTCTTCACCCCACATTGATTAAGATTTGTCTACCATTCGGCGATGTTCAAAAATGGGCCACATTAAAATAAAAATTAAGTCACTAACTTGGAAGGTTCTAAAATGAATGAGTTTATCTTGTGCTTAAACCATACACACTTTGTATAGCTTGAGGATTTTTTGAGTCTGCAAAAATTTCCCATCCAAACCTTTAAACTTTTTTAAACGTGATTAAACATTCTACTAAATGGTAATTTCATTCGCGATAGAAATCTTGAGTGAGGAAAATTGTACTTCTAACTGCAGCATGACCTTAACTCTAGAGACTAAAGCAAACAAAGCAGGCTGAGTCAAAACCTTATAAGTAGTCTGATAGGCTCATAATGCTTCATCTAAATTTTCATGCCACGATGTTTGTTTTCATCCAAAATATTATTAAAGTTTCATACAAGAATTTTTTTGAAAGCCTATCTATTATCTTAAGGGTACTATATGAACAAATATCTGCAATCAATGTAATGTCAATGAATAAAGTTATTAATATTGGTGCTCTTGAAAGTGATGGAAATATCAAATATGATCCAATAAGGAATGTCAAACCAATACAGAACATGCTATTTAAAAAATTGAAGCACATGGTGAGCTTTAACTTCTTGTTATAGGATAGATTCTTACAAGAAGTAATCAATTGTTGCAAGTATAAGTTGGTGACTTCTAGAAGAAGATTATGGGTCAATAAAATCAATGATGACTACACCCCAACTGTCAATACACTACGAGGCTATTATAGGATGTAGACCATTTAGTGACTGATATAAAACTATATTGTGAACTTAGCATTGATGACAATGGCTTGCTACAGACATGCAATTGTTTTTCATTGGCTATTAATGAAGGTTTTTTTTGTTTGAATGTATCCACCATAGATCTCAAAATATTTCTATTTAAATGACCAGATACATCATTTTAATAATAATATACTACTCTCAAGGAAAGAAATATTACCTTGAAAAAGGATATAATGATTTGAATTATTAAAATCCTTAGAATTTATGGTCAACTTGAACCAAAGATTTTTTATCTATCTTACGGGTGTATGACAAGGTTTAATTTATTCATGGGCTTGGTATCCCTACAATGACAAAACCTCGAAGTTAATTACATCCCAAAGTTACAAAATTAGGAGAAAACTCTAAACTAAATTATTAACTTACATTATTATGATTTCAAGGATAGACATTTCAAAGATTATAAATTTAAGTATGATGGTGTCGGCACTATTTTTTGTTAGAGGAGTTGCCCGTAAGAAGCTGCCGGTCACCGGAATCGAAATCTCGTCGCCCGCTTCGGAAGGACGTTTTAATTTTAGAAAAATATGAAATCAAACTAACCCCATATTTTTCATAGTTTAAATGAAAGAGCGTTGTACCTCAAACCCTGTATATATCCCGAATGATAAACACAAGCCTTGAGGATGAGGCTCGATCAAATAAACTGAGAAATATATGACGTCTGTTTGGTCTGCAAAACTATTTTATTTGCCGACAATTACCCCTATTTAATATAAAGAACTAAATAGGGTTTATATTAAGTTGGTTTCGGACTAGCTTCCTTTAAGAGCAAGCCCCTATAGTTAATTACATCTTAATTGACCGAAGTCATCTAAATAAACTCTCGATAAAAATCAGGAAACATTATCTTCAAGAAGGTCAAAGGATAGGACTTCTCAACAATATGGGACAAAGAGGTGTGAAATGGGATTTGCTCA